AGGGGCGGCAGGAGAGCTAAGGACGTCCTCTTCTGAAGGGCATGGTTTGCTCACCGGCGGAAGCGGCGGGTCGAGGAGCGGCGGCGGTGCGGCCGGCGCGCTGGCGGCGGCAGGCGCGGCGGCGGCGGCAGGCGCGGCGGCGGCGACGGCAGGCGCACCGGCGGAGCCTGCGGCGCTGCCGGGTCCCTTCTCGACGTCGCAGCAGCCGGCACAGTCGCACCCGAGCATCTCCCTCGACTCTCGGCACGAGAAATGGTGCCGGAACGCACCGCAGCTCTGCTTTGCGCACCGGGCATCGCATCTCGCCGGTGGCGGAGGCGGTGGGGGCGGCGGAAACGGCGGTGGCGGCGGAAGCGGCGATGGCCTCGCTCTCCCTCGGCTGCCAGCGTAGCTCCTCACCCCGGCCGGCAGCGGTGGCGGTGGCGGCGGCGGCGGAGCGGCGGCGGTGGCGGCAGTGGCGGCGGCGACGCTCTCAAAGCAGCAGCCCACACAGTCGCAGCCCAGCATCGTCGTAGACTCCGTGCAGCTGAAGAGGCTGCTAACGCCAATGCACGTGGATAACGCGCATTTTCGCTGGCACACGGCGACGGCGTCGAAACAGCAGCCGCCACATTGGCAGCCGAGCATCGCCGTCGACCTCGCGCACGTCAGCTGCGTGAGGAAATCGTTGCAGACTGTGGCGGCGCCGCCCGGTGGCCCACAGGGGGTGGAGCAGACGGCCTTGTCGTACGCGGATCCCGGCACACAGGGGAAAGCCACCTGCATCAAAATACCTGCCATTCTCGGTGTTGAACGCCGTAAAAAAATAAGAAGAAAATCCCGGCTTCCTGGCAGCCGGAGGCCGGGAAGAGATGGGAAGGGGAAAGGAAGGAACAGGGAGGAAGAAGGAAGGTCTAGATAACCAGTCGGAGCCCCGCGGCGGCGAGATGCGCGGTTGCGCGCTCCGTGTCGCTTGCGATGGATTACCACCACCTCGCCTTCTCTGTCGCTCTCCTGGCCTAGCCCATCAGTAGCAACCCTGAGCTGTCCCAGACCGCACTTATCTCGGGTCTTCAAGCTCGCACCGGCTCGTGATGCTCCGGTGTAGGGCTCGAGAGCACTCCCGGTGGCCCCGTGCCGAGCGATTGCGAGGGCTTTCCGGAGGTCAATATCGGCGCCACCGACCGTGAAATGTCCCGACCCACAGCCCACATGCACCAGACGCATGGATGCAGTAATACTATGTAGGCCTTCTCTCCCAGGGTTTTGAGCAATAGCCGCCAAAGGTGCTTTTTGTTTGGCAGTTCATCGCGACACGTCCAGGTGCCGACAAAGCGGCTTCCCAGCTCACCACCTCGCCTTCTCTGTCGCTCTCCTGGCCCAGGCCCATCAGTATCAAGCCTGAGCTGTCCCAAACCGTCCTTACCTTGGGTGATGCAGCCCACTCTGGCTCATACCACGGCTCTTACGGCCTCATACACGCTTTCTCCCAGTAAGCTAAAAGTACGTACACGCCCGTTTCACCCACAGACACCGCCGGCACACACTCCCACTTCACACATGCTCAAGCACAACCCCACCCAAGCACAGCCCTGCTCAGAATGGGCAGGGTCCACCACTTGGTGACCCAGGTAGCCTCTGGCTCGTCACTGCACTTGGCTCCTCTGCAGCGATCTCGCGCTCTCGCCACGACAGCACGCCGACGGCAAGCTTTGAGGTCCGTCTGGTGGACCTGCTGTGGCCACAGCCGCCCCTCACATGCAGCTCGCACCATGGCTCGACACCGGGCCCGCTCAGGTTGGTCGTGGCGGCGTGTGTGAAGGATGCGCGGCCGAGCCGCTGGCTGGCGCCGCTTGAACGTCCAAGATGGCCTTCTCCGCCCGGACTGGCAAAATAAAGAAAACGCACGCGCGTCGCCACGCTCCAAACCACAGCTTGGTCGCCGTCTTCCCGCTGCTCGCGCGCCACCTGCGCCCACCCCACCCCAGCCTCGCAGCGGCCTCTGGAGGCGCTCCTCCAGCCTCTTGGGTTCGAAGGTGGCGTGTGGCGCCAGGCGAGCACCACAGGAGGCCGGCCGGAAAGCTATCGGGCTGAAGTCCAAGCTCGGGCTTGACAACGGACATGGCGAAGGTATCGGCGACAGCGACGCTGTGGCGAAAGTCGAGGAGGTGAACGCCACGAGCATTACGTCGAGGCTCAGTCGTTGCAACGTGCTCAAGCGCGTCCCATGTGCACCGCGTCTCGGACCGGCGTGTGTGGGTGCGATTATCGTGTGACGCAAAAAAGAAAATCGGTTCGAAAGTTTCCTTTTTGCGCACCTCCCAAAAGATAGCCGGACAAATCTAGACGCCTAGACCGGACGCGGAACCATCCACATCATCACTGGCTCGCGGCAATACGGGCACTCTCGCATCAGCTCAGAGCATGGCCCGCAAGCACACAGGTGCCCGCACGGAACCGCAGCATGCGACTTGACTCTCGCGAAACACACGATGCACGTGGTCTCTCCCCCCATCGTGGACTCGGGGGCAGCCGGCCGCCCCGTGTCGAGGCCGGCGTCGGCTAGTGAGACGGCAGCAAGCGGCTCGGTGACTGGCAGATGCTGCTCCGCCGCCTCTCCCGCCTCTGGCCCGATCAAGCGCTCGATCGCGCCGACCCGCTCCTCGAGGCTGCCCTCGGTCGCCGTGCCGAGGCTCGCCTCCAGCCGCTCGACACGCCGCGGCAAGTCCCCGCCGCCGCCGGTCGACTCGCTGCTCACCGCCTCCTCGCACCGCGACACCCGACGCGCCAGCGCCTCCTCCGCATCCACCTCTGACCGGCGCAGCGCCTCTGCCAGCTCCGCATCCTCGCGCAACGCCGCCCGCTCTGCCGCACCCGCTCGCTCTGCTGCCTCGCGCTCCGCCCGCCTCGCCGCCTCCTGCTCAGCAGCCAGCTGCGCCGCCCTCTCCTCCTGTGCGCGAACCTCTGCCGCAGCCTTCGCCCTCCGCTCCTCCTCGAGCGCGAAAGCAGATGGCGCCTTCTTGGCCTTATTGTTCTTCATCTTGGCCTCCTTCTTGGCTGCAGTTGCCTCCGCCGCCTTTGCGCGCCGCCTCGCCTTCTCCTCCTCCGCCCTCCTGTCCGCAGCCTCCTTCTCGCGCCGCGCCGCCTCTGCCTGAGCGGCTTTGCGCGCCGCCGAGGCCGCCCGCTGCTCCTCTCGCTGCGCCTCCTCAGCCGCAAGCCTCTCCGCCTCCCTCGCCCGCAGCGTCTCCTCTGCTGCCGCGCGCTCAGCGGCCAGCTTCGCCTCCGCCTCCGCCGCAATGGCTCGCCGCTGCTCCTCCAGCGCCGCCGCGTCCGCCGCCCGGCGCTCCTCGCGCGCCTCTCGCTCTGCCTCCCGCCTGCGTGCCGCCTGCTCGCGCTCTCGCGCCGCCGCCGCCTCCTCCCGCTCGCGCTGCTCGCGCCGCCCCTTGGCCTTGCGCGCCTTCTCTGCCACCTTCTCTGCCGCCTCCGCCTCCCTCAGCGCCGCTGCGTGCTCTGTGAGAGCGCGCACGCACCCGGCGTGGTCCGCTTCAGGAGCACTGGCGGCGTCGGCAGTAGCTAGCACCTGGGCCGCCTCCTTCTTGGCGATCTGCAGCGCGGACGTGCCGTCTGCAGCGCGAGCCTTTGCATCTGCGCCAGCCCGAAGCAGGCGGAGCACGACGGCGGGGCAGCCGCTGCAGACGGCGTTCATCAGCGCGGTGACGCCGAAGTTGTCCCGCAGGTTGACCTCAGCGCCGTGCCGTATCAGCAGGTCGACCACCCGCTCGTGGCCTTTGAAGGCGGCGAGCATCAGGGCGGTGCCGCCGCCGCTGCTCTGCAGGTTGATCTCCGCCCCGTGCCGAATCAACAAGTCGACCACCCGCTCGTGGCCTCGGCCAGCGGCGGCCATCAGCGCGGTGCTGCAGTTGTTGCTCCGCAGGTTGAGCTCAGCGCCGTGCCGAATCAGCAGCTCGACCACCTGCTCGTGGCCTTCGTTGGCGGCGTTCATCAGCGCGTTGCCGCCGTCGCTCCTCTGCAGGCTGATCTCAGAGCCGTGCTGCAGCAGCAGCTCGACCACCCGCTCGTGGCCGTTGTTGGCGGCGCACATCAGCGCGTTGTAGCCTTTGCTGTCATGGAAGTAGATCTCCGCGCCGTGCTGCAGCAGCAGCTCGACCACCCGCTCGTGGCCATTCTCGGCGGCGAGCATCAGCGCGGTGTTGCCGTCGCTGTCCTGCTGGTTGATCTCCGCGCCGTGCCGTATCAGCAGCTCGACCACCCGCTCGTGGCCTTTGCCGGCGGCGTGTACCAGCGCGGTGCCACCGTTGCTGTTCTGCAGGTTGATCTTCGCGCCGTGCTGCAGCAGCAACTCGACCACCCGCTCGTGGCCGTTGTTGGCGGCGCCCATCAGCAGCGTGAAGCCGCTCACGCCGCCTCTCTTGTACGTCGCGTCGGCCCGCCCTCCGCCGTCAAGCCACTCCAGCACCGCCTCCTCTTCGCCTCGCTCCGCCGCTAGCACGGCTGCGTCGGAGCAGCTCAGGGATCCTGCGCCGCTGCTAAGCTCGCGAGCACTCATCGTTTGGCAGCCAAGATGTAAAAATGAACTCACGTTCACGGGACGCGGCACAACGGGGCACAAACGCCAGGCTACAAAGGCGGGTCACAGCGGCAACAAATGGAACGACTACGTCGACGAGCTAGCTGCTCGCGGCAGGCAGGGTGACAGAGGCTCAAACGCTGCCGAGTGGGCGGACGGCACCATCCCGACGAACACTCCCGACGAGGAAAGCAGCGCGGAGGGAAGCGACAGCAGTACCAGTGGACACGGAGCAACAGGCAGCGCCCAGGACTCGGAGAGAAATGACGATAGCGACGCCAACTGTGGACCTGCTACACCAACGGCTACAGCCCCAGCCAGCCCTGGCAGCCACCCCTCGCCCGCCACCGACCCTGAAGCCGCACCTGTCGCAACCCTCGCCGTGCCCCCCGAGTTCGAACAATATGGTCCGAGTACATGCCGAGCGAGCAGGCGAGGGAGATCGGAGACAATCGGGGAGCGCGATGCGTACTTGCCCTCGATGTTGACCCCCGGACGACGCCGCTCTCGCATGCTGCTATGGTCTCTCTCTCGATACACAACACGCTCGCCGACTTGGCAACAAGGGTTGACTCCATCGCGCTAAGCGACGAACCTGCCCCCGCCCCTCGGGGCGCCCCCCCCCCCCCCCCCCGGGGGGGCCCTTTGGGGCCCCTCCAGGGGGCGAACTCTCCGGGGAGGCCGGCTTTCCCCGTGCCGGTTCTCCCCAACCAACCCCGCCGGCAGCGCGAGCTGCCGGCCATATTGAGCGGTTCGTCCGCGTCGCGCACTCGTCCCAACCGGGGGCCGCAGACTGGTTCTGCGCGCCAACGGCTGGTGACGCTGTGTTGCCCTTGAGCTAGTCCTTCCCCGGTCGCCTAGCCTCTGCGCTGTCTGGCGAACGCCTGTATGCCATGCGCGCGGACCACGCTTGCGTGGATACGTGGCTGGCAGGCTGACCCGTGTGCGGGGTAACCCGCGCACGGGGAAGCTTCACGGGTTCGAGTCGTCAAACATTAAGCAGCGGAGGTGTGCCGAGGGGGACCGGGAGGCGGTAAGCCGTCGTCGCCCGGCGCTGCTTGCAGCACCAAGCAAGGCGATGGCGCTTAGAGGTTCCTCTTTTCCGCGCCCCCCCCGCAAGGCGCGCGATACACATTGAGTATAAGTTCTAAGGGTCGCACGGAACGGAGTGTCAACAGGATTGGTTGATCACGATAATAAACACGTGCACGCATGGGGCGTGGCTCGCGCGAGCTTGTGCTCTGTGCGTATTCAATGAGAAAAGTGCATCTAACAATAGGTCTCCGAGCGTCCTCGCGCTGGGAGAAGCGATACCCGCCCGCCGCCGCACCCGCGCCTAGATCAAGACTGCGATAGAAGCGCGTCGCGCCGTCGCAATCGGAGCCACCGCCTCCCACGCATTCGTACCCAAGTCGTACCGCTCGACCGAGCTGAGGCGGTTGTAGCCGTCATCCTGTCCGCTCACCGCATACAGCTTGCCGTCGAGCACCGCCACGGCGAGCTTATACCGCGCCTCTGCCATCGGCGCCACCGCTTCCCACGCATCCAGCGCCGGATCGTACCGCTCCACCGAGCTGAGGGCGTTGTAGCCGTCGTCGTACCCGCCAACAGCGTACAGCTTGCCGTCGAGCACCGCCACGCCGAAAGCTATCCGCCGCACCGCCATAGGCGCCACAGCTTCCCACGCATTCGTAGCCGCGTTGAACCGCTCCACCGAGTTGTGGTAGTGTAAACCGTTGAAGCCGCCCGCAGCGTACAGCTTGCCGTCGAGCACCGCCGCAGCAAAACTACACCGAACCGTCCCCATTGGCACCACCGCCTCCCAGGCGTTCGCCGCCGGATCGTACCGCTCGACCAAGTTGGAGAGGCCGACGACGTCGCTGAACCCGCCAACAGCGTACAGCTTGCCCTCGAGCACTGCCACGGCGGAATTCTTCCGCGCCAACGCCATCGGCGCCACCGCCTCCCACGCATTCGTAGTCAGGTCGTACCGCTCCACCAGGTCGGATATTGCGCCGCCAGCCTCGCTCTGGCCGCCCACCGCGTACAGCTTGTCATCAAGCACCGCCATGCCGGCATCGCTTCGTGCCGTTGGCATTGGCGCCACAGCCTCCTCCTCCCACTCGTTCGTTGACGGGTCGTACCGCTCAAGCGAGTTGACGTTATCGTTGTCCTCACCGCGGCCGCCGATCACGGCCAGGCGCGGCCTCTCGCGCTTCTTCAGCGTCTCCTTCCAGCCGCGGCGCCACGCGCGGCACGTCCCCTTGGCGGCGTGCTCCTTGGCCGGCAGCTGGGCGAGGATGTGCGGGGCGAGGTCCGGCGAGAGGAGGACCTCGGAGAGGACCCACTCGGGCTGCTCCACGAGCCGTGCGTGCTCCTCCGCCACGCGCAGCGCGGCGGCGCTCGCGCCCGCCTGCGCCTCGATGATGGCGCACAGCTGCGCTGGCGAGAGGCCCGCGACGCGGGCGCCGATGCGGTGGGAGGCCATTTGAGGAGGCTGTTTGCGCAGTGGTGCCAGCTGCTAGTGTTTTCTTTTATTTGGAGAGACACTGCCAAAGAGGCTTGGATTTCGCTCGCAAGGGCGTGCGGGAGGCCACGGAGGGAATGTATCGGTCCTTACTCCACAGGGGTGCATTCACGGCTGCCAATCTTCTAGGTGAGTGCGCCGCGCAGCCTCGCGAGCGCGCGGCACCGCCGGCAGCGGCTGGAGAGCGCAAGCTCGTGCACCGGTTCTAAATACTTAGTCACGCCCTGTGTGAGCTCTGTCTCAGACCCAGTGTCCATGCGCGCGAAAAAAACCGAAAAATCACAGTGGTGCAGCCGCTGAGGGCCGAGGGTCCGCGCCGGGGTGGGGGGGTGCCGGGGTCGCGTCCATCAACCAACCGATGCGCCTAGGCCTAGGGGTCATATAGCTCAATGACCACGGGTGCATCGCCAGCCGGCACCGCCTGGCAGAGGATGATGTCGCCCGGCTCGGCCTCCGCGACCGGCTCCTCTTTGAAGTCCACCTCGGAGGCGGGCGAGAGGGTGAGTGAGCGATCGGGGGAGAGGTGTGCCGGCGAGGATTAGACTGAAAGGGTGGGTGTGCGGGAGGGCGAGAGCCGGTGATGAGAGGCACTGGTGATGGCGATGATAGCGGCGCGGCTGGTGCAGGTCGTCACCTCGCCCGAGACGAGGCGCGCGGCGCACATGCCGCACACGCCCGCACGGCAGGTGAAGGGCGGGTCGAGGCCCGCCTCCAGTGCAGTGTCGAGCAGCGTTCCTGCAGTCCCCTGCGTGGCGCGCCACTCGGTCGAGACGTACGTGCCCTCGAACGACACTGGGTGCCCCGGCTCGCTGCCGTCGGCGAACGGCTCGGGGCCGCTCTCCTTCTCGAAGACGGTCGCCGGCCCAAAGTGCTCGTAGTCGATCCGCTCCTTGGCGACGCCGAGATCACGCAGCGCTGCGTAGTTGGCGTCCATGAAGCCCGGCGGGCCGCACATGTAGACGTCCGCGTCCAGGTCCTCCGGCAGGTACTTTTTGAACACCGCGGTGTCGATGTATCCGGCGCTATCGTAGTCCTTGCTGAGCTCATCCGAGGCGGCGGGCTCGCTAAAGGCGATGTGTGACTTGAGCGACGGCACGACTGCCGAGAGGGCGCGCAGGTGCTCACCAAAGGCGTACTCGCTGCCGTTGCGCGCGCCGTGCAGGAAGACCATCTTTGGCACGGAGCCTCGCGCGACGCCCTCGGCAATGGACGTGTTCATCATCGCAATCATCGGCGTGATGCCGACGCCACCCGAAACGAATGCTATCGGCCGCGTTGAGCCGCGCTTGAGCACAAAGTCGCCCTTTGGGGCCATGCCCTCGATCGTGTCGCCAACCTCGACCGCGTCGTGCAGGTGGCGCGAGCCAACACCCTCCGCCTATACGCAAAAGGCGTGAGCTCTCGCGAAGAACACGCCATGCTCAGTGCTCGCACAGCTTACGCGCCTCGCGTTTGACGGAGATGCGATACGCCTTGGCATTGGACATGTCTGACAGCGTGTAGGTGCGGACCACCGGCGACTTTTCTCCGGGCACGCTCAGGCGGATTGGGAGGTACTGCCCAGCCTCATACGAAATTGGCGCGCTTCCGTCAGTGTGCACAAAAACAAAGCACAAAGGAGGTGATTGTGTCCGATTCAGGTCGCTTCTCGGTAAGTTTGAGCGGCTGCCAGGTCTTCTTTGCGGGCTTTGCGGCGGCCTTTTTGGCGGCGGCAGCAGCGAACGGGTTTGTGGTGCTCGCCGTGCTGCTTGCGGCGGCGGCCTTTTTGGCGGCGGCAGCAGCGAACGGGTTTGTGGTGCTCGCCGTGCTGCTTGCGGCGGCGGCCTTTTTGGCGGCGGCAGCAGCGAACGGGTTTGTGGTGCTCGCCGTGCTGCTTGCGGCGGCAGCCTTTTTGGCGGCGGCAGCAGCGAACGGGTTTGTGGTGCACGCCGGACGGGCGCACCGTGCTGAGGGAGACGCCCCCTCCGCCCACGGGCGGCATGGCGGCCGTCGCCGCGGCGCTGGCGCAGGTCAACCTGCAGGCCTACGCCGCCGCCTTTGACGCCGAGGGCTACGACGACATCGCGTTCTTGCGCGGACTGGACGCCGCCGAGCGGGCGGACGTGGCCAAGGAGACGGGGATGAAGCCCGGGCACGCGGGCAGGTTTGTCAAGTTCGGCTTCGCGCCGCCCTGAGCGAGCCCGCCGCTAGGGGCTCAGGGATCAGGAGGGTCGGGTCCCGACAGGAGCTCGCTGTCCCAGTACGTTTCGAGTGCTTAGTGTGCACCGACCGGGACGCAGAGCGAGCATGCGGCGGAAGGTCTATACTCTCTGTCCACCGTGCGGAACCTCTCGACGGGAGGTCAATTGTACAGTACTGGCAGTAGCAGGTGTACGGCATACCGAGCATACCAATAAGATCTAAGGGGTGTGTTTTGGATAGCCAGTTTTGGATAGTCCGAAAAGAGCGAGCGGAGGGAGCAAAAAAGAAAAAAACACCTGCCTCCAACCTCCTTCCTTTTTTGAGCAGGTGTGACGCCGCGCGAGCGACGCTCCGAGATCGCCCGAGATAGCGCGGCGCGGCCCCGAGATCGCCCGAGATTGCGCGAGATCGCCCGAGATCGCGCGGCGCGGCCCGAGGCGAGGTGGATGGGCTGGGAGCGAGGGGGCGGAAGTGCTCAGTGCGGTAGATGGTCAGCTCGAGGCGCGTGAGCCGGACTTGTGAGCCGGACCACCCCCTCTTGAACCCTGCGTTGTTGAGCCAGGACTCAACATACTCGGGCTGTCGGTCGCCGTCCCAAACTGTCACTCCCCTCTCTCCCGGCCGGGGTGGGGCGCGCGCGGGGGCGGCGGGTGTCGGGGTGTGCGGGATGTCTGTGGGGCCGAGAGTGATATGCCATGTCCCGCCTTGCTTTGTTTCCTAACATCGAAGGCTAAGCTCAAAAAACAATGAACCCTGCGTTGTTGAGCCAGGACTCAACATACTCGGGCTGTCGCCGTCCCAAACTGTCACTCCCCTCTCTCCCGGCCGGGGTGGGGCGCGCGCGGGGGCGGCGGGTGGGCGGCGAGTGTGCGGGATGTCTGTGGGCCCGAGAGCGATATGCCATGTCCGCCTTGCGTTGGTTTCATATAACACCGTAGGCTAAGCTCAAAAACAATCCGTGGGGGCCGGGCGAAAAGTTCGCACTGGCGATATGATGGCGCATGCGCAGCCGGCGCCGCTCTCCTGGCAGAGCCTCGCGGAGAGCGGGCGGCTCGCCCGCGCGCTTGACAGGGAGAGCGCAGCCGCCCCGCACGTCCGAAAGCTCCGCCTCACCCTCGAGCCCAAAGCTGAGCCGCACACGCTGCGGCTCAAAATGCCGTGCGACTGTGGGAGCTGCATCGTCAAGGCGCAGATGAAGGCGGGCGCCTCCTGCCTGGTGCTGGTCTGGAACGAGGAGAAGCAGAAGTGCTCGCTCCGCCTCAAAGAGCTCGCGGACGCCGCCGCGCCAAGCGAAGGGCCGCCTGCGCCCGCCGCCGGCGTTGCGGCTGCAGAAGCGGTCACTCAAGCGGCGGCAAGCACTGCCACTGCCGAGGCGGTGGGCGGCGAGGGCGGCGAGGGCGGCGAGGGCGGCGAGGGCGGCGAGGGCGGCGAGGGCGGCGAGGGCGGAGAGGGCGGCGAGGGCGGAGAGGGCGGAGAGGGCGGCGGCGGCGACGAGGAGGCCGGCGGTGGCGGAGACGGCGGCGGTAGCGGTGGCGAGGCCGCGCTGCCGGGAAGTAGCGCAGCGTGTCCAATGGAGTTGGACAGCGACGACGAGCCGGAGCCGGCGGCCGCGACCGAGCCTGCGGCCCCCGCGGTGGAGAGCGAGCAGAGCCCGCCCCTGATGGCGCCCGCGGCGCTGGCGGCAGGGGCAGACGAGCTAGCGCCGCTGGAGGAGGGAGCGGCGCCGCCGGCGGAGGAGGCGGAGGCGCCTGTGGCGGAGGAGGCGGAGGCGCCCCTGGCGGAGGAGGCGGAGGGCTTGCGTCTTCATTTGTCTAGCAGCAGCAGTAGTGGCTACAAGGGGGTGCACAAGGACTCGCGAAACGGCCGCGTCAGCTTCTACGCGCAGCACAGTGTGGGCGGAGGAAGTGTCCCACTAGGCCGCTTCGCCACGGCGGTGGAGGCGGCGGTGGCGTACGCGCGGGCGGCTGGCGAGTACCAGCCTCAGCCTCCTCCGGCGGTGGCGACAGAGGCGGAGGGATTGCGCTTGCACCTCTCGAGCAGCAACGCCACCGGCTACAAGCACGTGTACAAGGACTCGCGAAACGGCCGCTTCTACGCGCAGCACAGGGTGCACAAAAGGCATGTCTCGCTCGGCTTCTTCAAGACGGCGGTGGAGGCGGCGGTGGCGTACGCGCGCGCGGTCAGCGAAGCGCCGGATGCGGGTTCGGCGGTGGCAGCAGCAGCAGGGCAGGCGTCGGCGGCACCGCTACCGTTGGGTGAGGCGGCAGAAGGCGCAGCCGCTGCCGAGCCGGTGGTGGAGGAGGCGGTGGTCGCGGCGGCGGCGGCAGGGGCAGAAGAGCCGGCGCTGCTGGAGGAGAGAGCGGCGGCGGCGGCGGATGCGGCGGCAGCTGAGGCGCCTGTGGCGGAGGTAGCGGAGGGCTTGCGTCTGCATTTGTCCAGCAGCAGCATCACGGGCTACAAAGGCGTGTACAAAGACCACGGCCGCTTCCAGGCGCGGCACAGGGGGGAATCCCTCGGCGCCTTCGACACGGCGATGGAGGCGGCGGTGGCCTATGCGCAAGCGGTCGGCGAGTACCAGCCTCCGGCTCCTCCGACGGTGGCGACAGAGGCGGAGGGCTTGCGTCTGCACCTCTCCAGCAGCGGCGGCACCGGCTACAAGGGCGTATACAAAGACCACGGCCGCTTCCAGGCGCGGCACAGGGTGGGTGGAAGGCTGGTCTCCTTCGGCACTTTCGACACGGCGGTGGAGGCGGCGGTGGCGTACGCGCAGGCGGTCGGCGAGGCGCCGGAGCGCGGCTGCTGCTCTTCCGCCGCCGCCGTTGCCAGGGGCAGCGGCGCCCGGCCCCGCCCAGCAAAGCGCCCGCTCGAGCCGACCGACGCGCCGCCGCCGAAGCGGCGCTCAAGCCGCGCTGCCGCCGCCGCCCCCTCGGCTGCCTCCTCCTCCTCCACCCCTCCCGCCGCCTCCTCCTCTTCCTCCACCTCCGCCACCGCCACCACCGCCCCCACCGCCCCCACCGCACTGGCCGCGTCCACCAGCGCCACCCGCACCGCCGCCTCAACCTCCACCGCCGCCGCCTCCGCCCCCTCCTCCTCCACCGCCGCCCCTGCCGGCCCCTCCCCGCTCTCGAGCCGCCTGTTCACGACCACGCCGGACGGGCGCACCGTGCTGAGGGAGACGCCCCCTCCGCCCACGGGCGGCATGGCGGCCGTCGCCGCGGCGCTGGCGCAGGTCAACCTGCAGGCCTACGCCGCCGCCTTTGACGCCGAGGGCTACGACGACATCGCGTTCTTGCGCGGACTGGACGCCGCCGAGCGGGCGGACGTGGCCAAGGAGACGGGGATGAAGCCCGGGCACGCGGGCAGGTTTGTCAAGTTCGGCTTCGCACCGCCCTGAGCGAGCCCGCCGCGAGGGGCTCAGGGATCAGGAGGGTCGGGTCCCGGCAGGGGCTCTGGCCTAGTACGTTTTGAGTGCTTAGTGAGTGTGCACTGGGACGCAGAGCAAGCATGCGGCGATGGGAAGGCCTCTAGTCTCCGTCCGGCACATCAGATGTAGATCTAGAGAGAGATTTTTAGCAATACCAATGTTTGTTTGTTAGATCTACGGGCTCAATTTTCTTTAACATTTGAGAAGCAGTAGTGGGGACCGTGCGACGGTCGCCCCCACAGCCAACGAGCAACGTGGAAAAACGAGAGCACAGTCTCACGCGTGGTCACCCCTTACTCTTCCGCAAAAGAGAAATCCGCAAAGCGTGACGCAATTGAGGCCGCGAGACGCGACTCGCGAGCCGCCTCGCAACGACTTTGACCGCACTCTTCTCTCTCCCCATGTGCGCTCTGCACTCGCCGCCGCACGCCGCAGCGTGTCTCAAACAACTTCACCTCCACTCGTTGGCACACACAGGTGCTGCAACAACGACCCAAACAACCTGCCCGAGGTCAACAAGACGCGCTGCGTCGCGATCGCCGTCATGGTCTTTGGCGTCATCTCTTGCCTCGGCTTCCTCGTGCCTGGCCTGTGGTGGGCAGCATCACTGGCTTCTTCGCTTCGCGAAAGCGAGAGAAGGGAAACTCGGTCGCAAGCGGACCCGCGAGCTCGTACATGGCCGCGTTGCCCTCGATTGCGCCCTCCCCGACGTGCGGAAGCGCCCCTCTGAGGGGTAGAGGTCGCGTTTCCCGTCCCGCGCCGTACGCCAGCCGAAGGACTGCCCGACCAGGCCGTGGGTCTGGGCCAGCGCCGCCTCAGCCCCGTGCGCGTGCAGCGAGCCAGCGACACGTCGAGCCGGTGGACCGGGCCACTGATGTGGCCCCAGACACGATTGGCCGCCACCTTGGCGGTCCAGCCCGGGAGCATGAAGCGCGCGCTCGAGAACTTGATAGCAACCTCGAGCTCCTCGCATTTCTTGTGCCCGCCCGTGCCGAGAAAGAACTGGCCGCGGCCGCCGCAGGTGCCGTTGATCATATTTGGGCCCGTCGTGAACTCATTCAGCTCGGAGGTCCAGAAGCTCGCCGTGGCGAGCTTGTGCTTCTCCCCGCCCACCAGCGCCAAGACGTGCACCTCTGTGATGAAGGATCCGTCGATGGTGCGACGCGAGCGAGCAGGTTGAGGGTACAAAGGAAGGCAAGGACAAGGCGAACCGGACCCGACTGGGCAGGCGCACCAGCGGCTTGCACGCAAACCTTGCGGCACACGGGCCACGGCCCCACGGGGGGGGCATGGGGAGAAGTGGTCCGTGTGTGTCTCGCCCGCGATGCGTCGGCCTTGACGGCCGGAATACGAATCTTACCTTATATTTCCCCGTGTCCGGTTTTCCGACTCGGGCAACTCGATGAAACGGGCGGACGGAAAACGCGTTTGCGGCAGCTCGCCCGAGAGCTATGCATGAAGCGGCCGGCGCGCCACCGCAGCTCACCGATGGAGTGTGCGGAGCGGCTCAATCCACTGGCGCAGCAGCATCGCGACCCATTCTCCAAGCACGGCCTCTGGCGTTGCGATTGCACAGAGAGCGAGCAATAGTCGCCAAAAACACTGATCTGTGTGCAGCGGATCTCCATGGCGGTCGCGCCCAGCGAAGGGACAACCGCAGGCCTCGGATGCTCGCCCGGAAGCGGACCCACCGTGCGAGTTGCAGACCCGGAGGTGGCCGACCCAGCTCACCCCCAGAGAGGCATGCCCAGGGTCAGGCATAGAAGGGGGGTGTTTTCCGTCCGTCCACGCCCACCTGGGGGGGTCTTATTTGAACTGGAGGTCAAGCATAGCAACTTGTAGACGTACTGCACACACACAAAGTCCGAGTTCTCCACTCACTCAACTTCTTCCCACTCATGCAGAGGCCCTCCTCACGCCCCGCCAGCAGCCCTCCGCATGCGGGCCGCTTGCCGCTTTCGTCGCGGATGCCGCCCCCTGCCCCTCCCTCTTCCCTCCCCTCGAGGGGCCGCCCTCCTCCAACTGGCCTT